TAAATATATTATTCTGTTATTTTATATTCATATAAATTATATATTATTTAACGGATAATTGGAATACAAATTATTAATTATAACATTGGAAATAATGTTTTGTAACAATTTTATCATAAATTAAAAAACAAATGAAACAATTTAATGTAATTATGTGTTCAGTTTTTTTTGGTAACGATTAGTTTAAAGTTACGATATGTACAGAGTGTAAAATATATGACCGTAAATTTTCTAATTTTCCTAACAAGTAAGTACACTTACTCCTCAATAGTTGGATGACCAGTGTTGGTACCAGGGATTCAGCAGCTTTTATAATTCACACAAATTTCGTATATATAAACTTATAAATTAATGCTAAAAGGTTGTAAAAACAAGCTATCTACTGTAGATAGCTTGTTTTTAGCATTAATTTATAAGTTTATATATACGAAATTTGTGTGAATTATAAAAGCTGCTGAATCCCTGGTTGGTACCAAATTATTTATAATTAAAGTTAACTTAAATTTTTTATAATATATATATTTTTAATTGCATATTAAATTGTTATATATATTTCATTTATTTATGTGTTAAAATTAATAATAAATGTTGGAATAACATTTAAAATTGCTAAACTAATATGATTTAAATATATTTAAACTTACTATAAAGGAGTACAACAAGTATATTTGTTAAAACAATTTACGGTCACATATTTTACACGTTGTATGTATTGATTGAATTTCTCTTTGATCGGAGATTGCTTTAACTTTTAATAATTAAATTAAAAACTTAACCGTTTTTATAAGAGTTTATAATCATTAATAATGATTGTAATCTCAAAATACAATTCAATATAATCGAAACAATAGGTGAAAATATTATGACTTGTTATAAATAGTGACTTAAAAAATGCGAATAAATTAATTAAATACTAGTCAAGTCAGACGGTGTGAGTTTCGGTCTGTATTAAAGGGTTATAATTGAGATCAGAAATACTTTTAGTGGACGAATAGTGTCGGGCTTTGTTGTAGACGAAGACTCCGGATATCACAAAAGCAGTTCCGATCCAACTCTGAGTCGTGACTGCATTTCCAAATATGATAACTGATAGCCATATGAGGAAAGCTCTCTTCGCAGTGTTGGCCACACTTTGCAATCAAATTCAAGCAATTAATATAATAAATTGTTTCATTTAATGAGAGATCAAATACCTGTGCGTTACGGGAGATATCATATTGAGAAGGATATATTCTGTATAACTTTGACAGTGGAATGAAAGGCCGGCCAATATATAAGTCAAAAGTAAATTCTTCTCGGTTTGAAGGGAATGCAAAAAGTGTGGCAAATCGACCAGAATTAGCACACATGGGATCTGAACCACAATCGATGACAGACTGGTATAAAACTGGAGGTGTAAGGGCTCGTACTTCTCCACATTCAACAATCTCTTGGAAAATACATTTTGCAAACATTCCGATAGATTGGTGGCTAACGAAGCCATTAAACCAATTAATGTAAATCTGAGTTCAAACGCGGAACAGAGCGCGAGACCACTCATCACAGGAATCAATGATAGATTGACTAAAAGAGATGTCTTTTCGCCTAAAACTACTCGTGCGATGAGTACTGTGAAGACGGGCGCAGAACTCTTCACGGTTTCGGCGAACGACACCTCAACGAACCACAAGGCTATCAGTCCTAACAATATTGTCGTAAACCTATACAACAGTTTAATATACCATCAAATTAAACATTGCATTCACTTATTTCCAATACAAACCTAAGACATCCGACAATTAATAGGTTTTTCGTAAAATTCTTCAGTTTTATCTCAAACTTGTGTTCATTGGTTTGTATGGACTGTCGTCGCAGGCAATGCCGTATTCGCGGCCAATATATCAATTGAATTGAACCACAAATCGTGCAAAACATTAATTGAAAGACTCCTACAAAAGTCACGCAATTAATCAATGGATTAGTTATTTAATGACAAACTGTGTGTCCATTGTGTGGACAGGGATGTAGTGATTGTGACAGACCTAACATAGTTGTGTCTCCCATTTCATAGGAAACTATATATTTGTTGAGAAAAAGTGTCGTAAAACTGAAGAAATACCACAAAAACACACAACGAATGGCTTTCGGTGTGAACAGAGAGT